CCCATATACCTGGTATACCCAGGAGGACCGTCTGTCGTGGACCGTCGGTCGTGGGCGGCAGATGGACGTCTTCATGGAGTTTCTGGGCTTTGACTCCTCGGATGAGGACGACAGCGACCAGAGCCCCTCGACACGCTGACATGCTTCCGGAGTGAAAGGTGAGTCAGAAATGATTAGAAAAGGCTTAGAAGATGAGAGAAGTTGTTCAGTTGATCTGGTTTGCGCTGGTCCGATGTGCATCAGTGGTGAGTCTTCGAAGTGTTGCCTGGAAGATGAACTTTGATCATTTCAGTTCACCTTTGAGTCACCTTCAGCGTCCGACGGTCATGCGGATCCTCACCTCCTTGTCCTCCGTTACCTCCGGGTCACCGAGGCATTTGGTCTGACCCGCATGCGTACAACCAGCGCAACAGGCCGTGGACGGGCGGCAGGGCTTCGTCCGGGATCACCGGAAAATCCACCGGAACGGGTCCAAGGCACAAACCGGAAGTCTGGAAGAGGATCGTATCCCTACTACCCGGTTTGGAGGGTTATGGCTTAGGAGGGTTCAAGCTTAACACGCACTGTAAACACTGCCGTTCTTCTACAAAGAGGTGGCTTTCAGCTACCTTTGACTTACACTCCCTGGAAACAATCGAATTGGATGGCCTGTTTTCATACTCAACAGGGTGTATGTGAACTCCACGACTCCATGTTTGGAGGGTGTCGGAGAGTACTGTGCGGAAGCGAGAAGTCGCGGTGGGACGGTCCGTGCGGTGGGTGCTGCGTGCGTTGGAAGCTTTTCACATCGATGTTCTTTAGCTTTTGAAGGTCTATAGTGACCTCAAAGAATGTAAACATAACATTATTTCCTCTCACGAAACAGACATGGAGCATTTGGTGCCCTGTCATTTGGGCACCTCCAAAGATGTGACTAAAGACAGAAAAGATCAGGAGTCACTTCTCGCCAGGCCAAGGCTGGCTCCCAAAAGAACCCGCGCGGAGAACCCTGCGAAGGCACGACGCCGGGGAGGTCCAACACCCTGCGCTTTTGTCGTCGAGTCGTCGTGCGGAACATCTCACCCCGGAGGAAAAGGCCCTCCCGAGTGGACTCGAGATGGAGGGGATGGGGTGGAGATGTGAAAGAACATACTAATGAGTTACTTGTTACTACTAGCTTCTTGTTACTACTAGTAAGGCACCTGTTACTACTAGTAAGGCACTTGTTACTACTAATGAGGGGATGGCATTTTTCCGACATCACGGAGTGCAACCAATGAGACGAAGCGATGTACACGAGACATGGCGTCCACAAGTCGCGCGCCCCGCACGGGTGAACGGAACGTGCGTTGCCGGCCGCGCGTTGCTCAGGAAGCGCACAGAGGCCAGTGACGGGACGGGACGGGACGTGACGGCCAAGAACGTGCATCTACCGAACACGGGTGGTGCTGGGTCCAAAGTGGAAGCAAAATTGTTGCAGCTGTGAGAAAACGACTGCGTTCTCAAGCCCGACCCTGACCTGCTTGACACGGCTCGCTGACCTGCTTGTCGTTCTTGACTCTACAGGCTTTGTCAGACCAGCTCGGACTCGGGGGGAAGAGATAGATGGGTTGGCACGTACGGTTCTCACTGTTGATAGATGGTTTAGCATTCCAAAGATTGTTGGAACTTTGAGGATGAATGGCCCAACGTTCTTCAGATGCGTGATATTTATCTCAATCTCAGGTGAATTAGGTAAATGTAGACATACAAGCGGATCCTTTTTGGGAATGACACGGACACGTCTGGTCAATTGGGAAGTAGTGGTTCAACTCGCTTGTAGGTCGCCCTCCTTGAGACACAACTGCTTTCGTCGCTGCCGCGAGAAAGGTCATGCCAGAGCCTCTAGAGGCTCTTTCTTGTGGGGTACAATCTTCGGCAAGGCCAAGCTTCTTGGCAGGAATACCTTTGCGTCACAATCATTTTCGAGTTTAACAACATGAGTGGTCGGATTGATCTATCTATATGCTATGAGAAGTCACATCAGTCTGCGATGGTTCTGGAAAGAACATCGATTGTTCCACCATGAAACGACGGAAGGGACGGAAGACCTTTCGATTGTTCTAAGGAAAAAGCTGCAGAGACCACGCGATGTGAGAGAGATGCCAGTTTGAGACAACGCCGGCTCACAGTGAGCATGATGGTCAACGAGTAGTTGTTTCTTCACATCAAACACATCAACACTTGTTTGTTTGTGGTTGCAAGATGATGCACTGGGAATCATGGCGTGCACATAGTCATGGTGCTTTGTGGTTTGGCGTTTTGGTGAGCTCAGCGAGAATGGACAAAAAGGGATGCTTTCAGTCTGCCCCAAGTCTGAGAATTACAATCCACATCGCTCCTGTCAAACTGCATCAACATGTCCCAACCTACTATGGGCTGATCAGAAGGACCTTATGCTAAGAGTTGCTAAGCTCGTAGGCAAACGCCCAGGGTTGGATGGATATATCCCCCATTTTCTCTTCTCTTTTGGCCATGCTTCAGACGACTCCACTTTGGTACATTGGTCGGCTGGCTGCCGGTATGCTAAGGGAGATCACTGCCGACACTGCCAGCCATGAGAATCACAGCCCCAAATCCACGGCGCAGGCGCCGGGCAATGATAAGCGGACGTTCACGTCCAGACTAGCAGATGAGGCAGGGTTGGCGAGTTGGTGAGCCGGTTGATGTAACCAGGCCCTTTCAAATCAGGGGATTGATGAAGGGTCTCAGAGCTGTCATTCTTCTCAGAGCCAGAGCAGGTTTCTTGTAGAAGCCGCCCAGTTCTGGATGGACCTCTTGGGATCCCTGGCCGACCGGATCCCCGGGAGCCGCGACAGCGGACGCGCGGCGGACGGAGGACTTGCTGATCCTTTCCAAGGCCGAAGCAGAAAAACAGCAGCGAAGGATCAGAGGAGGGTCCGGGTGGTGGCTTCAATGATTTTGTTAAACCTTTTATTGCTTGAGATGATTGAACTTAGTGACTCATACTATTTGCTTGTGAGTGGAACCCGCCAACCAGAGGGTTGATTCTCTGAGCTTCTTTACCACTGAGTTGGTGGTGAAATCTGACAGCGACGATTCTTGGCACAGAACACCCGGCTAACCATCAACATCCCTACTGGAACACCTTTTCCCCACAGATGTTCCTTTTGGTTCATCCTTGGTGAAGGTGATGAGAAGATCGAAATCTTCCCGCCAGGTCGATTCCTCGTTTGTTTTGCGTCTCTGTGTATCACTTCCATTGTTGGTACGGGCGAGGTCCCTTGGTGCTCCCCGCGATGCGCTTCTCTCCCTGCAGAGCTCCCGCTGCTCCGCGGGAGCTCCGCTGCTCCGCTACCGTTCTGAACGGACTCTGCTACGGGTAGGTCTGCTACGTGGTGTCGCCCTTCCTCTGTCGCTTGGATTTGTCGTGCCCCGCCGACCGAAGAAAGACATTGACCAGACTCGCCGCGAGCGATGTTCGCGCCGCGAAGGGCTTCGGAGCTCAAGCGACGGCGCCGAAGCCGGGTGGGTTTTCTTTTCGGGGACGTCGAGGAAAGCGCAAAGGGCACCGACTTGGGGCGTTGGTTCTTGCAGCGAGTTTTCTTATGTTTTCTTGGGGTCAAACGCACAGTGAGAGGTACAACCACTTGGGGGATGCTGGCGTGAAGTGCTTGGCGTACCTATTGGGACCACGTGCCTTTTGGCTGCATGAGATGGGTGGGGAAGGCTGGCGGATAATGAAAAGGTGAGTCTGTCGGCTGGTTGTTTGTGTTGGAAAGAGATTCTGGGCATCGGACACACCCATGCAGAGTTCGGCCGAGTCCTATAGGCCCAAGACAAGTGAGAACATTAAAGTGCATGAATAGATCCATGACAAGAGTGTTCAGTCCATTCAATCCATGCTCAGTCCATGAGTCCATTCTTCCCAAGACAAGTGTTCTCATGCCGAGAGATGGAATCCACGATCCACCACGGATCATAGGATCCCCTCCAGTCCAGGTCCGGCACGAAGGCTTCAGATCTCGTCGCCGAACCTGGCCCATGGAAGCTGAACATGGTCCCCCAACATCTCCAGCTCATCAGAGACACAGGGAAACCGAAGGATGAACAGGAGACGCCGCCACTGTGGAGGGCCATGAGGAGATGAACAGACTCCCGACAATCATGGAAGCTGAACACCCCCGCGCCTGGAGAGCTATGTTCCACCATGGTTTCAGAGAGTGTAATTCAATGTGGGCACGCCACGCAAGACTCATCTCGATCATCCAAAAGTCCGCATGAAAGTCAACGTGATCTCAGCAGCATGACTCAGCATGAGAAGCCAATCACTTGGTCACTGGTTCATTGACCTGTCCGGACGCGACAAGACTTGCCACACCACCGGCAAGTAGCAAGACCCTGCCACTGCACTGCACGGCGGAGGCCTCTGCACTGACATCGCTGCGGCTCCGCTCCAACGCCATCGGCGCAGAGGGCTGCCAGGCACTCTGTGAGTCCTTGAGGCGGGTCGAAACGGTGCGCGCTCGATGCTGTGGCGAAACTCGAGCCGTGCCGAGGTCGGGGAAGGGGAAAAGAGGAGATGTTGCAAGCACAACACACCACCCGAGAGATCAAACACCGAAAGACAACCAGCAGAGGTCATCTAAGCAGGAACCTCCGATTATTTTCCAATAATTAACTCAGATGTCCCACAAATGGCTTGAAGCCCTGCATTGAGGCCCACACCGTTGAGACGGCTGGACATGGCAATGAACCCGCCGCGGAGCTCAGCGGAGGGCGGAGCTCAGCGGAGGGCGGATCTTAGCGGATGCGCTTTTGGCATGGAATGGGGTAAAGCTTGGGACGAAAGAACTGGTGGGTTTAGGGGTCCGTCGCGTGGGTTTTGCAAAGCCCTCCGTGGTGATGTTCCATCAGGTCACTTGACCAAACCCGCCAGTCACGATGGGCTCAAAGGATCAGAATCTCCAACCATTGCGTGACATTGCAATCAACTGTTGCGTTTCAAATCCAGTGATTCCATGCCTCGACCAAGCCACGGTCATTCAACGGTGCGTGCCAAGGCAGGGTACTCTGACGTAGACATGCTTGGATTCGTTGGATATACCAGAGCTTTGTAGGGGGTTCTTCTGAAACATCACCCGCTTGGAGTTCTTAAGAGTAGATCCCACAGAGTCAGAGATACCACGGTAGAGTCTGAGTTCAGCGTTGCCTGTTTGGTCGATTGGGGTGAGTGTTATATGTTTTTTCTTTTTAATACTGCATATTGTTTTTGAGGGTCAGTGCCAGAGGAATGTGCCCGCATGTTGAGGCGTTCTTCATTTTGCTGCTCCTGGGTGGGCATGAAGCCGTCCGCATTCACGAGGATGTCAACCTGACGGCCCTAACCTATCAGAATGAAGACCCCATGTGGGAGAAGGTCTACAGAGATATGAACAAGGCCGAGGGGCTTGGCTGTTGGTTGTACAGATGGAGTCATTCAAACAACTGAAAGGTTCCAAGTCTGTGCTGCAGTCTAGGGTGATTAAGAAGAGGAACATCCACAATGTGGAGCCAGTGGAGCCCAGTCCTTTCCCATTGGCTTCCTTCTTTTCCTTTAAAGAGCAGGTCTTGTCGCTAGGGTTTTCACAAGATAGGTTGCGCCCGTGGTGACCCAGGATTGCTATTGGGAGCGCACGTGGGGCTATTGCTACGGTGATGGATGCGTGTGGAAACCCTTCGCCTTGGACTTTAGACCTCACGAGGGATCATGCCGGAAGAGTGATAAATACTTGCTGAAGACGGACCCTCACAACTCCATGCAAATGTTTGCTGGAATCCTCAAAGCAAAGAGCGAGAAGTACGCCAAGAACTGCCAAGGCCAGGGAGTTTCTATCTTTTGTTCGAACGGAACACACACTCATGGATATGCGTACTGACTTGATTGCGGTGCCACACGCCGGCCTAAGAGACCCAAATCCTGAAAAACCAGGTGAAGGGGACCAGAGTTCCTGTAGTTAAAGGCCACGAACCGACGAGGCGACAGGTTGACGGCGTTCCGTGCATGTCTGCAGCTATTGAGGTCCTGGGCTTAGCCTCATGCCATTCAGTACAAGGAAAAAACAGGTACGTGAGTCAGGCGTCCCTGACTCATATCACAGGAAATCCATGGTGTCTTCGTTGGATGCCGACCATGGAAATCCCCGGCATCCCCCTGCGATAAAACAAAAA